CCCCCATTGTGCAAATAAACCACAAGAGCCAGAGGGGTGTGGGGGGGGTTGGCGGGGGGGGGGGAAACACATCGTGTTGTAGCTGCCCTTACACCGGACGGAGACCTTTCCTCCACCTGCATCAGCTGGGGGTGCCCGTGTGATGCCAGACTTCCTCACCCCACCCTTGCCCCAATTCACCACCCCTGTTCCCCTACCCTAACCCCAAGCTCATTCAATACCATTGGCAAAGCCTTTGGATTGAGCCTTGGATGGAAAGCTCCAGGGCATCCGTTAGGCCAAAAAGCCGCTCCGCTCCCTGCAGGTGCTGGCTGCCGGCAACGGGGAGCAGAGAGCAGTTTGCAGCAGTCTAGGCAAAACGGAGCCGAGCTGCAAACGGGTCTAGCTACATCTAGCCATGGCCCAAGCTGAAGCTGAGAGGAGATGAGAACAAAGAAGACAGGCCCCAAATACCAACGCAGAAGGCTAAGGACTTACTGCCTTTCAGAGGCTGTTTCAGAGCTGCGGGGGTCTCTTCCGCCTCGCTGTCGGATGAACCGCTGCTCTCGCTCTCGGAGCCTTTGCCCTTCAAGGTGCTTCCAGGGGCTCCCACAGGAGTCCCGGCTTTCACAGTCTGGCTGAGCTTGCTGGGGGACGTGAGCAGTGCTGGCAGCCTCTTGACCCCGCCCGCCCAAAAAACAAGACAGAAAACACAGTCAGGGATCAACAGTCAAGAGGTTCAACGTGAGAACTGCCAGCGTGGTGCATACTATACCCGCATGTCATTATCCTCCTTTCCTCCCCAAACAATGTGGGTCTGAACTATAATCGTTTTGGAAACTAGTGAAATGCAGCTGCTTCTGGGGTGGGAGGCTGCTGCTATTTGCAGTGCAAAACTCTGGAGGAGTGCTTGGGACTGGAAGGGAAATAGGACACATCCCTATCGGGATAAATCCGGGGATGACTGGGACCCCGGGGTTTACCCACCTCGTCTTCCCATATTGTCACAGCGTTCTTGGTAGAAAGAGTCTCAATACCTCTGAGAACTGCACCTCCCTATTGTCAGGCCGAAGTAAGGCTCGGTTTGAGGGGAGAGCCACTTCCTCTAGGTTTACCAGTGTCACACCGGTGTGAGCAAGGTTTGTTTTAATGCACTGACAGATTAGGCCTCCCAGGAGCAGAGACCTTACTCCACTTGCAAGGAACAGAAGGCAAAGTGAGAGGACTGCAAGACCTGAAACAAAGCAGCTGCCTCCCCACGCTGGGAGAGCGCCAGAGAGCTCAGCAGGAAAGGGAGGCCCAATGCACTACTGCTAGGAAGGACTTTTTACCCTGGGTGCCAGCCAAATGCCTTAAATTCATGTCAAAATAGAAACCTGCACCACTCCGCTCGGGCTGAGCCTCTGAATGGTGGCTGTCAGCATTCAGCTTGCCAAGGCCCAAGGCAGAGCGCGCCCCACGTCTCCGAGCTCTGTGCAGCTGCCATCTTGACGCAAGAAGGTGCCAATTATTTCAGCACTCAAAATAAAATTGCCAGGTAAGACCTTCTCTCTCACCCCTCCCAGCTGCTTTGAGAGAGAGAGCGTGTGGCAAAGGGCTCCCGTGGCCCTTTGGCTGCTTGCACAAGAGCAAGAAGTCACCCTGTTTTGCAAGGAGTCCCGGGAACATGTTCCCCAGCCCTGCGCCCACTCAGCCGTGAAGCACAGCCTCCGGCAGAGCGCTCGGCACCCTGCAAAAGAGCGAGGAGGAGATCGACGCCGTGTCTGGCAGGCTGAGCGGGCGCAGAATCGACCCAACCTGACCTACTTCCAGGGCAGCGTCCACTGGGCAGACTCTTTGCCGAACTGGGGGAGCCTGTCCGCCGAAGCCCCCACGTCCACCCCGGAGTCCTTCTCTGCCTCCAGGAGCTATCCTCACTACACAGCCTGCAACACTGCTACCCAAAAAGTTCCTCTCCTCCCTCCCTTGCCCAAACCCACTCCACCTATGCATGCAAACGAAGCTCCAGAAGCAGGTTGGCATCATTCGGACAATGCATGGACGGGGTGGGCTCTTCTCCAGCAGCCACGAGTTTCAGGACGTCTCTCAAAGCCAGCTGTCTGGCACAGCCCAGCGGAGCGCTACCAGCGGGGCAGCGTTTGCCGTCTTGCTAAGCAGACGACAGCATCTGCATGTTTATCCCCTCATCGCGCGGCTCTCCAAACAAACCAGGCATGCTCAGGCTCAGCGCAGAGACCTCTACAAGAGGAGCGAGGAAGAAGTGGGTTCGCTGCACTGTTTTGATTCAAGTGAGTCACTATCTCCAAGAAAGAAGCCAGCTTTGACATGGTGAATCAAGGGGGATTATTCGAAGCAGGCGCCAAGAGGGAGATGAATTGCCTACTCGGGGGTGCACTAGGCGCTCTCGCTCCCGCAAGGCAGCTACCAGCTGTGGGGGATTTTTAAAGAGACTCAGACCAACTCTCCTCCAGCTTCCTAGCAACGAGGCAGGCTCCTGCTCTCTTTCCGAGAGCAGGGTCTCATGGTTAAAATGTGAGGAAAGAGCATGGAGGCATGTTACGTAAGGATGCACAAAGCAGCAGCGGGAGGATCTGGAAACAAAGGCAGATCGCTAGGTGAGAACAGGGCAGCTGAGCAGGGAAGACGCAGCCCGGCCAGATCTCAGCTCTGGAGGGCTGGGACGCATAGATCCAGGTGTTCAGGGGAGATTTTAACCACATCAAAAACCAGGAAAGAAAAACCCACAATCAGGCACAAGCATCTCATGGTGGACGCCGATGAATGGGAGACACGCAGCCGTCAGCGGGGGCTGCTGAGGCTTTTGGCCCTCCTGAACGGGTGGGAACGGGCATCTTGCTAGAGAAGCCAGCGAAACTCTGCTACAGCTTCTTCGAGGTCAGTCTCATTCATCTTTCCAGCCCCGAGGAAATATGCAAACACCCTGTCAATTCTTTGACTAAATATTCCTGAGTCTTCAGGGGTAAACATACCAATTAAGTAGTTCAATTTAGGCATGATGTTCATTTTAATTGTGCTAATCCACCCCCACAGTGAAAGATGAAGCAGCTTCCAGCTCCCTGTATCTGTTTGAATCTTGCTTAGAAGCAACAGGAAACGGCAGGATACAGTAAGTCAGTCGTTGGGCATATGCCCAAATACCTCATCTTCCCCATCTGGTAAGACAAGATCCAGCGGGAGGGTGGGAGTGTGGACACGGATGAGGATGCCATGACTTCAAACGTCCCTGCATCCAGGGCCCTGCCTCAATGACAGTCAGCCTGCTTGAGTTTTGACAGACCTCCAATTCGATCACAAACTCTTCTTCGGCACCAGCAGTGGGTATGTGGGATTGAAAATTTGCAAGAACAGTGGCGCATGGAGACGCTGAATCCTTTAATTGCCTTCAGCAAGCAAGCCGGTGGCTCCAGTCACAGCATCACCATCTTCAACTAATGCTAGGGTTGGGAACATGCATTTTTCACGTATGACTATTGTTACAATGGACGATCTTCACTGGATTTGCACGAATTCGGCACGTAGCATAAAACCCCATCCACACACCATCCTTACTGAGGATCAAGACATGTTGTAGTGCAACAGTGCTGTGGAAGGTAGACCGAGATAGCACCAGTCACGCAGATGCCCCCAAAGTCAGATTAGGGCTATGAAAAGCCACATGCAACTCTTATTAAATATTTCACTGGTTTACCAAGAGGAACGGATTGACTGGGCCAGGGTCACAACCTTGTACGTCCCCCTGGGCAGCATCAACGTTCAGTTCGAAGCAAACTGCTTCGCTCTGGGGCTCTCCTCGCCCAGAGTTTCAGCTGATTTCAGTCCTCACGCTTTTAAACAACAGGAGATTTTGCACAAGCTCAAGATTAAAGCGATGGCTCAGTTTCCGGTCAGGAAGGACTCTCATCCTGGCAAATACTGCGGGGTCTATTTTGCCTCTCTCAGTAGCAAGGGGTGGTATCCACTTCCTGGGACCACCTGATCCTATTTTACCAGCATCTTTGTACAGGTGTGGTTCTTCCCCCCCCAGCATCTAAGTGCCCTGCTGCTACACTGGCCAGGGGGCTTGGTTTTTCCCATGACATACTGTCGAGTTTGCTCACTGGGTGTTACGTGGTGGCGATGTGGGCAGGGGCTTCTTTTGGACAAGATCTGCTTCAGTGGCTGCCAGCAGCCACAGGGGACCGAGAACAACGACTGGGGAGGTCTCCTCCAGCCTCGCGTCCCTCTGTACTCGACCATCCGAGTGACGCACCCTGGAAGTGCTTGGGACCCTCCTAGAATTGGCTTCTACTTCACAATTATGTTTTGCAATGATTTTGGAGTTGGCTCTCTCTGGCAGCAGCCGGTTCTGTGAAAAACAGAGTCCTAAAGAGGCGCCAAAAATGTTGTAACCACAAACTAGTCACTTGGAGGCTGTTTAGCTCATGCAGCGTTTCGAAAGGAAAGGAAAGAAAGAGTCAAGTCAGAAGGAATCACGGCAACTCTTCTAACCAAGAAGGTGGAGGAGGGATCTCTCACTCAAGGGCTGAAATTTCAAGCACCATATGGTCTTAGCATCCTAAGAATATCAGTATACTCAACAAACCTCCCCCCCCCACAACCCCCCGCCCAGCAAAACCAGAAGCTACACACCAAGTCCTAGCAAAAGTAACAATCTCCCAGCAAGCAACCAACCCACCTTCTGGCTTATCGGCAGAGGGGGAGCCTCATCCTCGCTGTCTGAATCATCGCTGCTCTCTGAACTATCTTGGGGCTTCGTGCTCACAGCAGCCTTTGTAGGGGTGTTGTTCTTCCCAGGCACTGGTTTGGCCTGCTCTAGTACAGCTGGTTTAGGTGTTTGCTTTGCCAGGGCTGCAGTGGTCTTGCTGGACAGCAGAGCCGCTGGTGCACTTTTTGCCGGTGTCAGGCTGGGCTGCAGAGATTTTGCAGGTGATTTTGTCTAGAGCCAAAAGAAAGCAAGAGGTATCAACAACAGCTATCCCAGGACGACCACTCATCCGCCCAGGTTAAGGCAGAAGGAATTAAAATGCAGATGCAAGATTTAGAGTCCCAAGGTTGGATAAGTGGCAAATGCCAAGAAGACTAGTGACCGGCCTGAAGAGCACCCTATCTGCCAGGGTGAGGGAGTAGCGGGAATGCCTCACTGCCTTTCTGGTATTACTGGTCACAGCCACACAAACGATGCAGATGTCAAGAGAGTTTCCAACTCCAAGGCATGGAAAGCAGGGAGCTAGAAAGAACCAGACCTCTCACGCTAAACAAAGCAACAGAAGCCTGGTTTGATATTGCAGGTTTGATTCTCAGCCTCTGTTCGCAGGGCATATGTAACCTGTGGCACGCGTGGAGCTGCAATTCCCACTTTCGGGAAGGAGAAATTCCTGCATTTTATGTCGACTTGAAAGCAATAATGGATTCCCATCTTTTAAATAAAAATACAGGATCCATGGGCTCCAAATCGCCACCATGGGTTTGATGTTTGGGGAGGATATAAAGTTGGAACTATGACCTGGCATTGCACCGTGATTCAGTTACACAGTTCCTGGTGCACAGGCACATGGGAAAGGGTGTGGAAGAGACTGACACACCTGTGCGGCGGATGCGGGTTCCTCGTCCTCGCTGTCGGACGAGTTGCTGCTCTCTGAAGCGTCATCTGACTTTGCGCTCCCAGCTGCTTGCGCGGGACTCGTAAGCTGCGCGGGTGCCAACCTGGCCTGGCCGGCCGTGACGGCCGCGGGCTTCCGCAGAGACAGGGCGGACCCTTTCCCCGGGCTCCTCGCGGTTGACGCCGGAGTGACGGGCGTGCTTTTCGTCGGGGTTGCATTGGTCTGTGCTGCTTTCGCAGCTGGTTTCGCCTAGAGCCAAGAGACCAGTATGAACAAAAGAGCAGACCCAAGACGGCACAATTCACCTGCTCAGGTTAGAGACAAGGGGTTAAGATGCAGATACAAGGAGATTCTTTAGGGTCCCCATGACCAAGAAGGGGTGAAAGCCAGCGACCAGTCTGAAGAGCAAGACACTGTCTGGCAGGGCAAGGGAGAAGCTGGAACTGCTCGTGGGCTTTCTGGTGCCGCTGGTCACAGCCACGCAGACGATGCAGGGAGGGGGCAGCTTGTGCCAAGGGAAGTTTCAGCTCCTCAAAACGTGGGAACCCAAGAGCTAAAATGCACCAAACTTCTCCCACCCAAACAAAGCAGCAGAAACCAGGCCTGACATCACAGGTTTGAATCTCAGTGCAATAGGCCACCTGCTCGCCGGGCACATGACCCCTGGCCTGCTTAGAGGTGGAACCGCCGTTTCTGGGTGGGAGGAGGGGAGGAAATCCTGCTTTGCCTGTTAAAAGACTGAATCTGCAGCATTTGCTTGAGGTTTGGAGCAGAAACCACCTAGAACCATTAGCTACCTCATTACAAGCACGGCCTTACATTGCACTGTCATCCAGCTACATCTTTCATTCATAAAGACTTCAAGCCTGAGGGACAAGCAAATGAGGGGAAAGAGAGCGTCTCAAACGGACACACCTGCACTACGGATGCGGGTTCCTCATCTTCGCTGTCGGACGAGTCGCTGCTCTCCGAAGCATCGTCTGACTTTGTGCTCCCGACCGCTTGCGCGGGACTCGTAAGCTGCACGGGTGCCAACCTGGCCTGGCTGGCTGCGATGGCCGCAGACTTCCGCAGAGACAGGGCGGACCCTTTCCCCGGGCTCCTTGCGGTTGACGCTGGAGTGACGGGCGTGCTTTTCGTCGGGGTTGCATTGATCTGTGCTGCTTTCGCAGCTGGTTTCGCCTAGAGCCAAGAGACCAGTATGAATGAAAGAGCAGACCCAAGACGACACAATTCACCTGCTCAGGTTAGAGACAAGGGGTTAAGATGCAGATACAAGGAGATTCTTTAGGGTCCCCATGACCAAGAAGGGGTGAAAGCCAGCGACCAGTCTGAAGAGCAAGACACTGTCTGGCAGGGCAAGGGAGAAGCTGGAACTCCTCGTGGGCTTTCTGGTGCCGCTGGTCACAGCCATGCAGACGATGCAGGGAGGGGGCAATTCGTGCCAAGGGAAGTTTCAGCTCCCCAAGACGTGGGAACCCAAAGGCTAAAAAGCACCAAACTTTTCGATGTGGTTAAAATCTCCCCTGAACACCTGAATCTACAAGTACGCAGCACTCCTAGGCCTGACTGACGCTATGACTGTCGGCTTCTGGCTGGGCTGCAGTGCCCCTAGGACAGGCCATGAATGGACACCAGAGCCATGCAGAGGCACTGCCATCTTCTCCAGGGAGCTCTTCCTCCCGCTCTTAAGGGATGGCTTTGTGATGTACCCGCATGTCTTGATACAGGGCAGGGGTCATACATGCCCGGTGGAGTTGCCATTTCTGGGTGGGAGGAGGGGAGGAATTCCTGCATTGTCTGTTTACTTGAAAGCATGATAGGATTTAACCTGCAGCATTTGCTTGAGGTTTGGAGCAGAAACCACCTAGAAGCATTAGCTACCTCCTTACAAACACGGCCTTACATTGCACTGTCATCCAGCTACGTCTTTCATTCAGAAAGACTCCAAGCCTTAGGGACAAGCAAATGAGGGGGAAGAGAGTGTCTCAAATGGACACACCTGCACTACAGATGTGGGTTCCTCGTGCTCGCTATCGGAGGAGTCGCTGCTCTCTGAAGTGTCTTCTGGCTTTGTGCTCACAGCAGCTTGTGCGGGACTCGTGAGCTTCACAGATGCTGATTTGGCCTGGCTTGCTGCAACAGCTGTGGGCTTCCGCAGAGACAGGGCGGACCCTTTCCCTGGGCTCTTTGCAGTTGACGCTGGAGTGACGGGCGTGCTTTCCGTCAGAGTTGCATTGGTCTGTGCTGCTTTCACAGCTGGTTTCGCCTACAGCCGAGAGAGAGAGAGTGATCTAAGCACAAACACACAACATCTGGAGCAGGAGGGAAATGAAAGGAGTGTTTGGGATGTGAAGTCAGAGGTGGCAGGCACCACAATCTGTGCATGGAGCGAACTCCGAGCAAGGACCCCATAACACTTTGAGCAGCCTGGACAACGACCCTGGGCAAAGCCGGGATCTGCAGGAGGTCGGTTTACACTTGCGTGGATAATGATGCTGATTAAATGAAGCATCCGGCAGGTCAACGCTGCCCTGGGCTTCCTCCTTCCTCTGCCCTGCCCCACTGGGGAGGAAGCAGGATGCAGACTTTCCATCCGAAGCAGGCAGTGATGCCTTGCTGGGTTGGACACCTCCGTTTCCTCAGGGGCCACAGCAGCCTGAAGAAGGCCCTCTGCAATTTGAGGCATGACTGGGAGGTCTGAGTGTTTATGGGCATGGCAGTCAGGAATGGTCAAAGGTTCTCTGACCCCTCTTCAAGGAGTTACCAGGGCAGCTGGGGGGTTGTGTTCCTCTTCAGAGGATGATGTCTCGTCGCTGGAGTCCTCGCTGCTCTTTACCTCTGCTGCGGTCGGCTTCAGCTCTGGAAGACAAGCAAGAAGCCACTGTCACCTACCCATATTCTCTCTTCGGGGACAGGCAGAAAGCTCTAAAAAGTTGCATTGCTGTTGCTACAGGAGCCAGAGAGAGGTAAAGCTAAAGCAGCCATCCCCACACCCTCCCCCTGGTAGCCTTCCACTTCCAACCGTAAGCCCCACTTGCATCTTCCCAAGGGGAGCTCCACTTAGGGTCATGACATGGGGCAGGGCCTAATGACGAGCAAAGGCCTCCCAAGAAGGTCAGAAACAATTCCTCCAGTCCCATGCCTCCTTTATTCACATCTCACATTCATGTTTCCCACCCCGCCCAAAAAAATTAGCAATCAAAACTTAGGCTGCATGTCTTGAAGGAGGAACCTGAGTCTGAACAGCATGGTTAAAAGCAAAACTCTTTTTCTTCTACATTCAGCCTTCCCAAAACAAGGTGCGTGTCTTATTCATAGATAGTCTTATTCGGGGGCATGTTGTATGCAGATAAATATGGTATTTCAGAGTAAAACCTGCACACACACACACACCTGGGAGTCTCTTCCTCTGCTACAGAGCAGTCGCGCCCAGTCCTAGATCCTACAGCAAGCTCGGTAGACGCACGTAACTCATCTCAAAACCGAGCCGTGTGCATGAACAGCATTTTTCAGGCTGTGCGCTAAATGAAGCTATGTCTTCACAAGGATTTCTCCCTCCCTCCCTCGCACTCTCTCATCTCAGAAGCGATGAAAAGGACCTCTCTAAAAATTTCCAACAGATTCATTTCTGGACTGAGACCAAACCTGGAAAGCTGCAGACGTTTTGAAAAAACCACAGGGCAGGAATTTTCCTAGGGCAAAGACAGCAGCCGGAGATGCCAGCGCATGATGGCTGTGTTGAGCAAACCACCTGACACACCCATACAGGAGACTACCCCCCCGCTAGAGCGCACCTACGTCTCTGTCCCCCCAGAAGAAGGGGTACGCCCCGTATAAAGTCTGCAAAATCTGGTAGTGAGCAATGATGTTGGCCTTGCTCCCTTTTTCCCAGGGTTTCCTCAGCCTCCACAGGGAGCAATTTACTCGGATAGTTTTCCAGGAAAGTTGCAATCACACTTCTCACCCTGGGCCTGACAGCTGCAATGCAACCTGCTCTACAGCCCCAGCGCTCCTTACCTATTTTGGGGGCTGGGAGCTTTGCTCCTGGCTTCTCTTCCTCGTCTTCACTCTCTGATGAGTCGCTGGTCTCAGAGCTCTCTGCTGCTTTTGCTGTTGCCGCTGCTTTGCTCTGGGCACCTCTGGCCTGAGTTGCTGCAGCAGGCCCTGGCTTACCAGGAGCAGCTTTCTTCTGCCCAGCTTTGGCTGGAGTCGAGGCAACAGCTGGCACATCAGCTTTTAGCTTGTTGGCTTTGCTCCGACCGGTGGCTGCAGCCCTTGGTCTACCCAAAGGGGTGCTGGCTTTGTTGGGGATGGCATGTTGCACAGAGTTCGTAGCCTTGCCACCTGCAAGAGCAGTCTTCACCTGCAGGAAACACTATGGGAAGTCAGTTCAAAGAAATCACAAAACCTCCAATATCTGCATGAAGCTGCTGCCCCAGAAGCCACCCCCGTAATGCAGACACAGCCCAAGTCTACCCGAGCCTAGGTTTGTTGGCAAAGCTAGCAGCTACATTTTCCCAGTATAGGGAAATTCATGATAGCTGCAACTACGCTGGGACTTATGCCCCGGAAGCGTTACTGAAGAGACAGACAACCGTACCATCCAACCTGGCTGTGCTGACAGATTCCCAGGAAGACCTGGCATCGAAGCACAAGCAGCCCTAGGAAAGAGGGTAGGGACCAGCGCAACCTCACCTCGATTCCCCTTCCAGCCACAGCAGTGTCGTCTGAAGAGGAGGATTCATCCTCGCTGCTCTGCGTCTTCACTGCAGAGTTGGGAATAACCAGTGTGGCAGCTACAACACAGGAGGGGAAGCCGCAGTAAGCAAGGGCCCAAAGACCAGGCTGCCCCCAGTGCGCGACACCCGAAGTCAGAGCTAGCTAGGGGTTATATCTAGGAGGTCAGCATAGCTATCCCCATTGTAGAGATGGGAAAACTGAGGCCGCGAGGGTGAATGATTTGCCCATACTCATCCAGCACCAGGGCTACAGAAGAATTGAACTGGGTTGAGGGCTAGCTACGTGCAAGGAGCTGTGCTCCAACAGCCGCGTGCCCCGCAAAGGCGCATGCGAGCAGGGGCTCATTTGTGCGGGGAGTTCTTCCCAACAGCCATTACCACTCACTCCTCGTGTGGACGCAATTATCCTGGGATACAAGAGGCTTCTTCTGAACGAACTGAAC